GAGCCCAGCAGGTGAGGCTGCGGTGGCCGGGAGCAGCCACTGCACTCCAGTCTGGGTGACAGAGTGAGACTCCAACCCAAAAAAACAAAACAAACAAACAAAAAAAGTTAGTGATTTTTATAATACCTACAAGATAGACATTGGAACAAACCTATATCCACTTCATTCTAGTACATTTATGTGTTTTGATATGTTAAGCACATATATGTGCTAAGATAGGTTAAAATTCTCCACTCTGACTTTACATTTATGTGTTTTGATATGTTAAGCACATATATGTGCTAAGATAGGTTAAAATTCTCCGCTCTAGTCTTTAATCTGACTATAAGTGCCAAAATAGTAATTACTTTGAAATTAAAAAAAAAAACCCCAATATATAGTTCTTCATGTGGCATACTCTTGATTGATATTTGGTATTTGTTATTTGGAATCCCTTTGCAAGGATTCCAAGACTTGTCATGCTGAACACTTCTAACATATATTACGTATGTCAGATACAACATGTATATATACAGCACACTCTTTTCATATGACTGAAGATTTCAAATTATACTTAACTTGATAAACATTTCTATATCAAATATTTAAATGAAAGACACATTTAAAGACAACCCTACAAGATACCTTGCTCTTCTTTGATCTCCATTTTTTCAGACATTTTGACTTTTTTACTAATTTTCACATCTGGAACACGATAAACCCTTGCTCGAGCATTTACAAACATTGAAGTGCTGGAGTCAAGAAACAGCCAACCTAATATGAAGAGTTTTAAAAAAAAGTACCTTCAATTTATGGCTAATTTTAGATATTCTGATGGTCATATGACATACACACACAACTGGTCACCATCTTATTTTCCTACTAATCACACTTTCTCCCACTGTCATGGCCTCTGTCACCGTTGGACTAGACAAGCGGTTTTCAGTGTGGTCCATGGACTCCTGAGGGTCTCCCAAGATGTTTTCAGGGAATGTACGATGTCAGAACTTTTCTGAAATTAATACTAAGACATTATTTGACCTTTTTCACTGTGCAGACATTTCCAGTGGTAGTGTAAAAGCTCTGATGGATAACTGCTGGTGTCTGAGCAAGGCAAACCAAGGCAGTGTTATGAAAGTGTACTATCAGTCAATGCATTCTTTACTGTCATGCTTCTGTACTTTATCACTTAAGAATGTCCCTGAGGAAGTAGTGAAAACTGTTGTTGTCATTATTATTATTTGAGTCAAGGTCTCACTTTGTTGACTGGGCTAGAGTGCTGTGGCATGATCACAGCTCACCACAGCCTCAATCTCCTGGGCAATCCTTCTGCCTCAGCCACTCTGATATCTGGGACTACAGACACACTCCACCACTCCTGGCTTATTTTTTTGATTTTTTTGTAGAGATGAGGTCTTGCTATACTCCTTAGCCTGGTTTCAAACTCCTAGGCTCAAGTGGTCCTCCTCCCTCCACCTCCCAACGTGCTGAGATAAGAGGTATGGGCCACCACCCCGGGCCAAGAATTATTAACTGTTTAAATCTTGACTGCAGAGGTCTATGGACCATATTTTAAAAACCACTGGTCTTGTCAAGCAGTGACAGAGGCCACAGTAATGATAGAACATAAGACGGTGGCCAGCTGTATACATCTTTCTTTACAAATCTCTTCAGCTCTTCAGTTTTTGGCACTCTAGCTGATGACACCCCACACTCTCTTGCTTCTTCTTTGGGGAAAATGAATTTTAAGTTCTTAACAACTAAACTTCCAGAACACAACCTATTTCTAAGTTGGGGACTGCCTGTACTACACACAGTCTTTTCTAGAATTAAAATTTCCCAGAATGGATATGAATATTTATACAGAACAGAAGTTAAGTAGGTGGAAACATTAGCTATCAATAAAACCTACATCCTTGTGCTATGAACATAAAACATAATTTGAACTTGAAACGTAATTTGAAGTCTCAGTATAAGATTTAGTTGAGCAGGCTTGGTGGCTCAGTCTGTAATCCCGCACTTTGGGAGGCCGAAGTGAGTGGACTGCCTGAGCCTGCGGGTTTGAGACCTGCCTGGGCAACTTGGCGAGACCTCATCTCTACAATAAATCAAAAATCAGCCGGGCGTGGTAGCACGTGCCTGTAATTCCAGCTACTCGGAAGGCTGAGGCGGAAGGATCGCTAGAGCCCAGTGGGTTGAGGCTGTGGTGGCCGGGAGCAGCCACTGCACTCCAGTCTGGGCGATGGAGTGAGACTCCAACTCAAAAAAAAAAAAAAATTTAGTTGAATATAGCACTCCTTACACCTGATTCCCCTGAAAAATCTAACACTGTATTCAAATCAGATCCTAGACTATCATTAGTATTTTTATCTCCTACCTGAATTCTGACCAAAAGCCTTTTCTGTTGCTCTCAGAGATTCCAGAAGATTAAGAAATGTGACACAATCATACTGAGAGAGATACTGCAGCAACGTTCGTAATATCTTCAAATCCTGAACTAAGGATTTAGTCTTGGCTCCAAGTTGATGCCATAAAGGATCCAGATAATGACGGATTGTCTAAAATAAGAATAAAATTTAGTATTGCTAAAATATGTTTAATATAGTTATTCTTCATGGAAACCATACTTTCAAAAAGATTATTCTCTGTATACTAAAGATAGTTAAGATGGAAAATTTTATGTTGTTTATTTTATTACAATAAAAAATCCAAAACATTATTTCCCAAAAAAGTGGCTAGAAAATTTCAGTTCATAAAATTTTAATATTTAATTTTTCAAATATAGAGCAGAGTGTCTTATTTCCAGAATTCTTATGTTCAGATAGAGTCAATCTATCATTACCTATATTTACATTACTACTAGGAGAAAAAAGACCAGAAAAAACATCAGGTAACCAATTACTTGCTTTTCTGAACAGAGTCTAAACATGTACGTAGCTCAGACATGTTCAATTCCTGCCAACTTTGTGACCATCCTGCATGGTTAAAGATGTGGGATCCAGCTGGACTGTGGAGCAGAGGGTGAACCACACAGAGTGAATTAAATCAATGAACCATGATTTGTTAGTGTACAGATTAATTTTTTAAAAAGTAGATTCATGATGGAAAGATATTTGTTAACAATTGACTAAATTTAATTATTTTTAAGATTCCAAAAAGCTGCCTAAAACAAAGGACAGCTTTAAATATGTGTTATGCAGGTACCCCTATATCCACAGCTATGTATATGTACGTTTCCTTCACAAACTGATTCTGGAACTTTTAGGTACAGAATTATCTGATGTTTATCAGATACTTGGGGTCTGAGGAGAAAGCAGTGTCACTGCATGGCATCTTATCTAACACATTTAATACTGAGCAGGAGTACTATCTGGTTGACTGTATAATTTTTTATTTTTTATTTTTTTTGAGTTGGAGCCTCACTCTGTCGCCCAGACTGGAGTGCAGTGGCCGCTCCCGGCCACCGCAGCCTCGATCTGCTGGGCTCCGGCGATCCTTCTGCCTCAGCCTTCCAAGTAGCTGGAACTACAGGCGCGCGCTACCACACCCGGCTAATTTTTTGATTTATTGTAGAGATGAGGTCTCACCAAGTTGCCCAGGCGGGTCTCGAACCCGCAGGCTCAGGCAATCCACTCACCTCAGCCTCCCAAGGCGCGGGATTATAGGCTGAGCCACTGAGCCCGGCTGACTGTGTAATTTTTTGTCCTAAATAAAGAAATAAACTAGAACATTTGTGAGCATGAAATGATGAATAATTACTCCAAGACAACAGGTAGATACTGGTTCTGTTCTAGACAAACTAGGACATATAATTAAAATCATCCTATAAAAGTTTACGTATTTTAACAAGATACTAGCTATGTCTATTTTTAGATGTAGTTACTAAAAGAATGTCTAAAACAATACTTTGACTCTTACTAACCAGGGGATGATAAACAGAAATCTAGTACGAAACATATTAAGCTATATTGTGAGAGATTTTTAAAGAATCACCATGAGCTAAATTGTAAGAAACTTTAAGCATAGAGGAACAGAATATAGTTTTATATATCAATATTTCATAGTTAACTGACTTTTTCAAAGAATCAGAGAAATGAGAAGTTAAATTTTTCCAATTTTATTATTACAATGCATTATTTCCAGTGACAAAGAGATTAATTAATTTCGAGTTTAAAAGAAAGGAACTTGCAGCCAGGTGCATGGCTCACGCCTATAATCCCAGCATTTTGGGAGGCCGAGGTGAGAGGATTGCCTGAGCCCACGGGTTCAAGACCAGTCTGGGCAACTTGGTAGACCTCATCTCTACCATAAATTAAAAAATTAGCCAGGAGTGGTGGCGTGTGCCTGTAGTTCCAGCTACTTGGAAGGCTGAGGCGTAAGGATCACCTGAGTCCAGCAAGTCGAGGCTGCAGTGGCCATGAGTGTGCCATTGCACTCCAGCCTGGGTGACAGAGTGAGACTCCAACTCAAAAAACAACAACAACAACAAAACGAAAGGAAATTGCTCAATCAAAATATGAAGAAAATAGCAGCCAGAAATTTCTAAAAAGTCAACATTTGCTGGATCTATTTTCAGACATTTATATATCTGCATTAATATTAATCTATTATAAAAATGTTAGGCTGGGCTCGGTGGCTCAGCCTGTAATCTCAGCACTTTGGGAGGCTGAGGTGAGTGGATTACCTGAACCTGCGGGTTCAAGACCAGCCCCAGCAACTTGGTGAGAACTTGTCTCTACAATAAATCAAAAAAATTACCCGGGCATGGTAGTGCACACCTGTAGTTCCAGCTACTTGGAAGGCTGAGGCAGATAGATCGCCAGAGCCCAGCAGGTCAACACTGGGGTGGCCGTGAGTGTGCCACTGCACTCCAGCCTGGGTGACAGAGTGAGACTCTGACTCAGAAAAAAAGTTAGTTAGAGTAAAAATTCCTTGAACTAAAAGTCTTACCATTTTTTCAATTCAGAATGTAATTTTAAGACAGAGCAAGTTTTACATTCCTCAATAATGAAAATTCATCTATATTATTTTTTATTCCACAAGAGGTCATAAATTCATATAGGATTCTGAAGCATTCTTACATAAAACTCTCCTATCTGTAGATACCTAATGTCATATCAAAGCAAAAAAGTTATTTATCCTCTTCTTGGTTATAATTAAAACAATCATTTACTGTAAAACTGCAAGTCAAAGTTATGCTTATATCCAATCCACATATTTTGCTACAAATTATTACTTTCCAACAAACCAAAGCTATATTTTAAATCATCTCCAATTTAATTATAAAATAACAATAAATTCCTATGAACATTGCAAATATTAAAATAACTTGCATGCTTTAAAATTACAACATAACTGTGCTTAAGAAGGAAGATGAAAAGAGTACCTTGTCAAAAGGTTTTCCAATAGCATTTTCTAAAGACAAATCTTCCACTTCAAGTGACGGATTATGGCATTTTAGTTCCTTTAAACAAGCGTTTAAAATGTCCAGGATAGCAGTCTGTATAGCAAGCATGGCAGGTGTCATAGAAACATGGATTTCCACAACTTCGGGTTTGTGCTGTTCTAAGAATGAGTTTACTGCTACATGGAACCTACAGAGACAGATTATTTTTCAAATATTTTCTAGAGTTTCAACAGCTATGTATTTCTGGTCTTTGTTTAATACTCTAATTGTTTTTATAAATACAATTAAACAAACAAAATGGAAAGCAAAAGGACAACGTTTTCAAAAATACTCTGAACCTCAATGAATGGAAGTACTGAGTTATTCAAATGAGGCAGGGATCAGCAAACTATGGTCTGGGCCCAATTCAGTACCTCTTTTTATAGTGTTCTTGGAACATGCCACACCCACTGTTTACACAAGTAGTCTATGGATGCTTTCAGGCTCTAATAGTGGAAGTAATTGTGACAGACCATAAGGCCTGCAAAGTCCAAAATATTTACTATCTGGCCATTTACAGGAAAAGTTTGTTAGTCCCTAAAATAAGGTATAATCAAGAAAGAAAAAATACTGTAATCTTAAAATAATGCATAGCAGAATCAAAAGATATGTTAGTATAGTTTGCAAAAATGTTTGAAACTTATTTTTCTTAGAAATTTACATAAATTCTTCAAAATCTTCACACTTTATTTCCATGATGAGTAATTTTCACAGCAGAAGTGATAGTCAGCCAATAAATCTGCAGTTCAACTAAAGCTGTTGTATATGTGGGTCTCTAGATCTCTCAGAATCAGAATATAGTCAACTAAATGTGGATTTGATGGACAACCATAAAAAGAACCACCAAACCTCAGTCTACTTTTGAAAAAATGTAAATGTGGTGACCATGTATTTACATCTGGATGAGTTTATTATAAAACTGACTAGCATCTATCAAATACAATTACAGCAAATTTTATATTACATTACATCAAAATGCAACTAAATTACAGCAGAGCCTCTCACAAAAATTTGTCACATATTGCAAGTTACCTTGGCCATAGATACAGCTTCTTCACAAAAAGATTTCTCATCACTCTCTCCACGTGGCAAAAACCAGTATCAAAGGCAACGGCATTGTCTGTAAAAGCTTTAATGAAGCCACGTTTATTTTTCTGGCGAAAGAGGCGCAAGATGAATGCTTCTTGACAAGACTCAATTATTCTGTGGGCTCTATACACCAAGATGCCTGGGGGGTGGGGGATTATAGTTTAAATTACAGCACGTAGGAAATTTTTCATATTTACTTTCATTCATTCATCCTCTTCTTGATTGTAATTAAGAGATAATTTATTTATAATCACAAAGGATTTATTTTTTATGAGTATATGAGAACAGGTAAGCACTGTTCTATACTAGGGATATAGGCACAAACTAAACAGATGTAAATCTCTGCCTTCATGGAATTTATAATAAGCAACATAAATAAGTAAAATATTTAGTACATTACAAGTGCTAGGGAGAAAAATGAACCAGGGAAGGAGGAGAGAAAGCATGAGGGGTGTGGCCTCACGGAGGTGATTTCTAAGTAAAGGTTGGATGGAGACCAGGAGGTGAGCTTGTGACTGTGCCAAGAGAGTTCCAGGCAGAGGGAACAATAAGAGCAAAGGCCCTAGGGTGGGGTGTGTCTGGCATGTAGGAGGAATTTCTAAAGCAAAGTAGATCACTGATTCTCTTTTTACATATGAATCACATGAGGGCAACACAAAACAGCTGCATTTTAGAAGTCTGAGCAACATCTGCATCATCTATTGTCATAATTTAACTCAGAATCATAATATAGTCAATTAAGAAGTAAATTAGCTCATTTAAAATAAAAACCTTTATATTTAGTGGCCCCACTCTCCCTCCCCAGGCTCCCTCCCATACCTCCCCACTGATGTCACCTCTCCACTGATGTCGGATGCGAGAGCCTTTGCTTAAGTAAAAAAATTAGGCTTCACTTGGAGAGAATCAAACAAAGGTTGGACAACTACTTTTCCAGAACAGAAAGGAAACTGATACATCAGAAAAGGTGACTAATAAACGTACCAAAAGAATATGGCAGGCAAGTGGATCACCTGAGCCTGCGGGTTCAAGACCACAGCTGGGCTTGGTGGCTCAGCCTGTAATCCTACGCCTTAGGAGGCTGAGGTGAGTGGATTGCCTGAGCCTGCGGGTTCGAGATGTGGGCAACTTGGTGGGACCTCATCTCTAAAATAAATCAAAAAATTAGCCAGGTGTGGTAGCGCCTGTAGTTCTAGTTACTTGGAAGGCTGGGCCGGAAGGATTGCTGGAGCCCAGCAGGTCGAGGCTGCGGTGGCCGGGAGCGGCCACTGCACTCTAGTCTGGGCCACAGAGTGAGACTCCAATGTAAAAAAAAAAAAAAAGGAATATGGCTGCACAGATACCAGAATCTGACCAGATAAAACAGTTTAAGGAATTTCTCATACCTACAATAAGCTTACAGAAAACTGCTTTTAGGACTGTGCTTAAGACTTCCCAAGAGTAGTAAAACCCGAAGAGACCACTTGTTCAGAACATTGCTTACAGAAATATTTTAAAATGACCCAAAGAATATCCATGAGAGTTCAGGAATATCAAATTCAGTAGAATGAAGCCCTGACAGCTAAAGCATGACTCCTGGCCCACCATGACAAAAGTGGGCCTACCATGGCAGTGCTCCAATGGCTGCTGTGCTGGAAGTGAGGACTCGCCTGACAATCCCCTGACAGCAGTAGCTACCATGCTGAACCATCTGTCACGACTGTTTGGCAAACAGAAACCACTTGAGAAACAAAATCGCTATTTACCAGGAATAATCAAAATAGGTCTTATTGTTCAATGAAATAATAAGATTCAACATTTATTGGGGCCTTAAGATTTAGCTTGGTTACTTGATTGGAAAAATAAACCATTGTTTCTTCAATTGTGACTATCAATTTTAAAGCAAATTATGTGTTCAATCATGTATGAGACAGAAATCTGGATTACTAAAAGTAAAATAAATGGAAATATCACTGAGCAGTTGTTTGTACTATATAGTACCATAGTATTCTGACTAGACTGTGGATATGCTGAAGTGCTTTTTAGTCAGGATCATCCTCCAAGTACTCCTGTTCATTCATGTCTGTCTCAAATGCTGGAGAATACATAAAATAGTTACTTGCTAATCATTTTAGTGTCTGATTCTTTTCTTACCCCCCATCTTGTGTTGGGTTGGGCATCACATATTCTTATCCAACCTACATTTTCACATATCTTCAGGAAACATCCAGTTTGAGACTAGTTTGGGAATGTTAAGAGTTGACTGTTAGGCTCTAGTGGAGTCTGTGTTTGTGTTTTGCTCAACCGCTGAGTCCAACATGAAAAGATTCTGTCTCACCAACAATATATATAGTTTATTCTCAGCTATGACGTGATCAGTATAAATAAAAGTAAACCCAAGTTAAAAAAAACCCTATTAATAAATACTTTTAATACATTTTTTTCTGGGTGGCACAATTATGACACCTCTGAATCTCAAAAATAAGAACAATTATACATGTTTCCTTATTTATAAAATGAGAATACAAGATCAGAAGACCTTTCATATGTGTGTGTGTGTGTCTATGTCTATGTACACACACGCACATATATGCCATTTTGATAGGGTGTGAATAGTGATAAGTTAGGGAGAAACTTGAGATGACATAAGGGTATACAGACATCATTTCTGGAATAAAGACTCAATTACTCTATGATGAGTCTCAGTCTTTTAGATGTAAATCAAACTGGTTATATATATTTGCTATATATGTACTTGCCTATTTTTGATCCAGGTCTCACCACTCATAGAACCTAGAAAATGATACTAATGATGTTTTAATAGTTCAATAAACTCAGTCCATATTTTATCTTTTGGATGCTTAAGTGTTTGATTGAGGCAGATGGAGTTAAAATTTACTCTAGCTAAGCAAATTATTTTTCAGATATGGTAAAAATTAATAGTGTTATTTAGGAATTTGTAGATAAAGAATTTTCAATAACCCCTCTCAGTACATGTATATAACTAATTTACTACTCAGAAAATATCCTGTACCTAGTCAGTGGGTTTTTCTAAGGACTCTATGGGCTACATTTTGTCAGCCTGTACTGAAATATTACATAAAGTTAAGAATCATAAAGAAAAGGAGAACTTCAACTTAAGAAAATGTTGTGCTCTAAAAGGTTGTCATTATTCTGGAACCCAGAAGGAAGAAGAGAACTAATGCTATATCCCAACACTGGAGTAGGTGCTTTTATAGATTAATGCATTTAATTCTCATGATAATTCTATGCAGCAGGTATCATTACAAGAACAAGAAAGGGAAGCAACTTGACCAAGACCACCGGGCAAGTTGACAGGAGGTCAAAGACTCCCAATCATGTGTTAAATCTTTATATTCTTACTGATACCACCTTGAAACCCTCAATTAAAAATAAATAAATAACAATATAAGCAGGTTAGGCTTTTGGAAGTAGTTTTAATCCCATAAAAGCCTACTTTAATTTTTATGTTCCTATGTCATTTTGTAGCTCATGCTGTATGATAACTCTTTATGTATCTGTTTCCTCCACTAAACTTCTGAGGACAAGAACATCTTTTTTTGTTTTTTGAGTTGGAGTCTCACTCTGTTGCCCAAGCTGGAGTGCAGAGGCTGCTCCTGGCCACCACAGCCTAGACCTGCTGGGGCTCCGGTGATTCTTCTGCCTCAGCCTTCCAAGTAGCTGGAACTACAGGTGCGTGCTACCACGCCTGGCTAA